GGGTATTGTGAAAGCCCTATGTATCAATGACCTGAATGCAGACAATTTCTGTGAAATCGGGTTAAAAGAGTCAAAAGGTATTGTGCAATCTGTGACTTGACTTACCTGAGATTCTTCTTCAGAGTTATTCAACTGCAGTGGTTCACTTATTAAAACTTTATAATTTTTCTGATTAACATGTTGATCCCTCTGCTCTTGATTCAAACCCGTAAACATGCTTGATACTCGATAAACTCTGGAATGATGAGAAACCCTCTATTCATTACCAATTCAAATTCTTCATTACTTTATCTGTGATATGAATACGCGCATGTGGTATAAGTCAGGACTTTTTTAAAAATTGATATACGAGGTTATAGGCGACCGTATCAAGACATGTTTTTAATCATAGATTGTAAACTTACAAAGAAGAGAAAATGAACCTTTCTGATAATAAATAACATGAAGATGGACATCGTTACTAGATTCAAAATAAAAGTTTGTTGTGTAATATTTTTGTATTTCCACCGGTTCCAAGAAAGTTGTGAATAACAATTTGGGTGAATGATTCTCAACATATTTTATTTGACATAAGGAGAATAAAAAAAGAATGGTGGATATCGCATTCCCTTTCAATATCCCTCGCTAGCGACGAGATTATAGTCGAATACTACCACACAGACGTCCCGCGTTCGATACCCCAACAGAACTTTTTTTTATGACGTAATATGTTACCTACTATATCTAGTCTGTCTCGTTGAAGTGAGGCTTCTTCTACTGAAGTGTATCACCAAAAAAATAAAATTTGTCAATCACGGAATTTTAATACGAAAATTGTGCAAAAAAATCAATTAATTTTTTCTGACACGTCAAAGTAGCATCGGTTTTCATGGAAATGAACAATATGTACTGAAGAACTGAGTAATTTGGAGAGCCAGTGACATTTTCCGTTAAGAAGACATTTCTTAATGTGACTCTCATTACCCAGTTTTTCTCAAAATGAAATTTCGACCCACTGGGTAATTACGAGCCAACCTCTAGGATATAAATGAATCTAATTTCAGGCGGAAAGAAAAGTTCTTTGTACTTCTAGAGTTGCCAGTCAGTCATACCGATGAAATGTTGTGTAAGTAGTGGAAACGAATGAAGGTCGGCAATCCTGTAAAACGACAAACACAACTCTAAAGAATTAATTTTACCTTTGTTCCAGCAATGTACCCCCCTGATGAACCGAAACTTTTAGAATATGTACCCATAAGAGCATCAACATCTTTTGGATCACAATGAAAATAATCGACAACCCCTCTGCCGTTTCTGCCGACAGCTCCAATACTGTGAGCTTCGTCTATATAAAGATAGGCTTTATATTTTTTCTTCAGAGCAATTATTTCAGGTAAGCGCACAATTGTTCCTTCCATGCTGTATATGCCTTCCACAAATATCACTATTTTCTTCCAAGATTTATAAGACCCCTCCACTTGGTTGGGTTGGCCGTAGTAGATTGCTTCTCTCAAATGTTTTTCTAAGTGTTTCACATCTGAAAATTTTTGTTTTTGAAAATCACAAAAAAAAATAATGAAAATGAAAGGCTCGCTATCATTGGTGGTGACTCCAGTAGTACATTTTAGTCTAATCAACAAGTTCAAAAACATGAAAAATAGAGATAAAAGTCCTGAAAATATGAGCGATAGCTCATTCGATTCGGAATCACCTCTAGAAAAATGTTTTTGAAGGATTTTGGTGCAGGTAAAAAATTTCAATTGTTATTAACAAAATAAGATTTAAAAAAATGGTATTT